AGAAAGAAGGAAATTATGATGTTACTTTAGAGAGAGGGCAAAATACTGTATAAATGTATCTGTAACCACTGTTAAGAAGATCGGAAGCTGCTTCTGTATAATCTTTTTTCCCCCTTTTCTTTCTTTTTCTATTTTCCTTTTTCACTATTTACTATTTTTCTTTATTTTCTTTATTTTCTCTTATGATTTTTATTTTGATAAAAATTTATTCAATAAAAATTATAAAAACAAAACAAAACAATAACATCCAGCAACATCTGACGGAGAGGTCTTTGCCAACCTTGGTAACATGTCTGCTTGGGGTCAGACAAGCAAAAGGTTAAGCAGAAAAAATTCCACATTTCCGAGTCCTCCAGATCAAATGTGAGTGAAGGACTATAACCCCAGGCAAATATGTGAGAGAGGGTGATTATGTCATAATATAAGCAACACAATGAGCAGACTTTGCAAGATGAGAAGATCAACTAATGCAAGTAGATTGAGACAGAGAGACCAAACTCTCTCCCTGTCATGGCACTTTAGACTGAATTAGATCATTGGTGCATTTACTTCCAGGTTCTCTCTTCCACTGGCCACAGCCTTCCAAGTACTCAGTGGAAATCAGGGACTGAATTTAGGATTTTCAGCATGCAAAACATGTTCTGCCCCTGATTTTTGAACCTTCTCCACAACATTTTCTGGGGAATATCAGAGAACAGGCAGTATTATTTTCCTTCCTCTTTGTAGCTTTCTGTTACCCTGCTCTTCCAACTCTTCTTTTTTCCTGGACTAGTTTCTAAGTAAGCCAAAAACTGTCCCCTAACTAAAATGGCAGAGTCCCTGGGAGACCTCGTTTTCTTTTCTTCTGACAGGTTTTTGGCCTCGGCTCCGTTGCGCAAGTCGTGTTGGGAAGGAAAAACTTTGGAGAGTATTTGAGCATCAATCTAGGATTTGGGTTTGGTGTCATGTTGGGGATCCATGCTGCTGGTGGAATCTCAGGTGAGTCTAGCAGATAAAGGGTGGGGTGGCTTGATCCAGAATCCAACCTTCTCTATTAGCCTTCCCCAACATAGTATCTTGCACACCCTGTCTTGAAACTACAATTCTCAGGGCTCTCAAGCCCCAGGGCTCAGTGTTCTAGCTCAGCGTTTCTCAACCTCAAGGGGCCACCGCTCGACCCAACTAATCTGGACAGTTTTCATCCAGTCTCCAACCATCCCTTTGTAGAGAAGGTTGTGGAGAAAATGGTTGCACAGCAGCTTCAAAGGATCTTGGATGAAGCAGATTATCTGGACCCCTTTCAGTAGGATTCAGGCTGGGGTATGGGACAAAGACAGCATTGATCACGCTCTTGGATGACCTCTGGTGGGAGTGGGATGGGAGTAGTGCATCCATCCTTGCTTTTCTTTTTTCTTTTTAATAGTATTTTATTGGAATTTTAAAATTACAACGTTAAAAGTTAGAAATGAAAAAGAAAATTGAAAATA